AGCAACTACTGGGATTGAGTTTTGTACTGGCCTTGAATTTTGCCATTACTTATGTGTAAACCGCTTTGAGTCGCCCTCGGAGTGAGAAAAGCGGTATACAAATACTGTAAATAAATAAATAATAAATAACTACAACTCCCAAATGGTAAAATCAACCCCCCCCCCCCAATCCCACCAGTATTAAAATTTGGGTGTATTGTATATTTGTGCCAAATTTGGTCCAGTGAATGAAAACACATCCTGCATATTGGATATTTACATTGCGATTCATAACAGTAGCAAAATTGCAGTTATGAAGTAGTAACAGAAATAGTTTAATGGTTGGGGATCACCACAACATGAGGAACTGTGTTAAGGGTCAGGCATTAAGAAGGTTGAGAAACACTGATATAGTAGAAGGCAATAGAAAATGATGGGGAATGTGTGGGCTTCCAGATGTTGTTGAATTGTAACCTCCATCAGTCTTGGCCAACATGGGGAGAAATACTAGGAGTTGCAATCCACCATAATCAGGAACAAAGAGCTCAGGCCATAGGTTGAATCCAGTTGTCTTGGAGTTCAGTTCATTGAGGTAATTCATGTCGCCAAGGCTCCTTCCAAATGACGGCCTCTCTTAGTTGTTCTTTACTTTTTAGTATTCCAAAAAAATTAAACTGCCACTCCTAAAGCATACCTGATCACAAACAAAATATGCTGGCATTTTTTGATTCCATTTATCAATTGGGTTTTGGCCCTTAGAGTGCTTTAGACATTGAATTTGGTTCTCTCCATGAACCAGCCCGAGCTCTTAGATCCTCGGGGGAGGCTCTCCTTTCGCCCTTGCCATTATCACAGGCTCTTCTTGTAAGTACAAGGGAGAGAGCCTTCTCCTCTGTGGCCTCCTGATTCTGGAACTCATTGTCCAGTGAGATTAGGAAGGCCCCCAACTTAGAAATTTTCAAGAGGGATCTCAAAACCTGGTTTTTCTGATGCACTTTTGGAGAGTAGCCATATTATCATACACAGCTGCTCCCCCTCAACAGTTTTTGTCCCCAGAGTATATTTCCCCACCTCTATGACGGTCTATATTTATGGCCCCGTTCCTTTATGTGTTTCTCCCCCACAAACAATCTGCTCCATCCCTATCTCATCCTGATTTTAGTATTTTAGTGACTTAGTTTTTATCTTGCACATGCAGCCCGTTCATTGTTATGTTATTTTACTGTGGGTTCTGTGTGGGTGGTTTGGCCCAATTTTATCATTGGTGGGGTTCAGAATGCTCTGTGATTGTTGGTGAACTATAAATCCCAGCAACTACAACTCCCAAATATCAAGATTCTATGTTCCCCAAACTCCACCAGTCTTCACATTTGGGCATATTGAGTCTTCGTGTAGAGTTTGGTCCAGACCCATCATTGTTTGAGTCCATAATGATCTGGATGTAGGTGAACTACAACTCCAAAACCAAAGGACACTGCCCACCAAACCCTTCCAGTATTTTCTGTTGGTCATGGGAGAACTGTGTGCCAAGTTTGGTTCAATTCTATCGTTGGTGGAGTTCAGAATGCTCTTTGATTGTAGGTGAACTATTAATCCCAGTAACTACAACTCCCAAATGACGAAAAAATTTTTTTGGAGTGAAGGACATACATTGGGTTGTTAGGTGTCTTGTGTCCAAATTTGGTGTCAATTCACCCAGTGGTTTTTGAATTCTGTTAATCCCACAAACGAACATTACATTTTTATTTATTTAGATGTATTTTACTGTGTTGTTATTGTGTTTTGGTTTTACTTTATTGTAATATGCTGTTGGGCTTGGCCTCTTGTAAGCTGCCCCGAGTCCTCATTGGGGAGATGGTGGCGGGGTATTAAATAACTATTATTATTATTATTATTATTATTATTATTATTATTATTCTCCAGCTGAAGTAATCTGGAGAGTCTAAGTTACCCAGCTATGTTTGAGGACAGGTGTTTCTGACTTCAACTCCCAGAAGTCAGGAATTCTAGGAGCTGAAGTCCAAAAATGGTGGAGGAACGACGATTGGGAACCACAGATCTAGGAGAACCATAAACCATCATTACAAAAGCCACTATGCATGAAAGCACCAATAATGTACAAACATGAACAAATTGAGCATAAAATCCCACTTTATTGGTTAGATAATAATTAGATGCTTTGAAAGAAAATCTCTCGTGTGCAGTCTGAGATAAATTGGAAATCCAACATTTGATAAGACAAGAAAACTTTTGTTCTTTGTGAAAACCAGATGCTTCTTTGGGCAGATGTTCTTTTCAAGATGCTTCCTAATAAATATCTGCTTTGCCCCTTAATCATTGTTATCTGGAGTTCATTTCTTTTAAAAGTGTTGGGCTTCTTGGACCTTCAGATGGCAACGAAAGATCTTCCGTCATGTCAAAGATGGGATTTTTCTCAGGCTTCTCTTTTTCTTTCTTCCCTCTAGAGGCCCGGTTGGGAAGAAAGGGAGCGTGGCTCTTCTAAAAGGGAAAGGCATTCTGATCATTATTAATCAAGCATGGGATCAGTTGCCTGGGCACCATCTCATTTACTTCATATCGAAGGTCATTGGTAATGAGAGTGCAGAGATTGCTTCCCATCCTGATACAAATGGTCGGTGAGATCATTGTGTTGCTGGGGACACACAGTTGTGGCCACAAATAGTTGGTGAATGTACTTTGCTGGTGTGGACATCTTGCTATAGGTGGCCTGCAAAGCCACACAATATCTGGGGACACTTGGATGTCCACGGTGGCTTGTGAAGACATGGAATTGCTGAGGAAATGCTGTTGCTCCCCATCTTGGGTTGTGGGGACACAGCCTTCTGCAGAGGTGGCATTTTCATTCTCCTTGATTGGCAGGGATGGTGGCACCACCTCAGGTGCAAATGTCTTGGGTGGGAAGTTTGCATTCTGCGCTTGACGGATGGCCATGCTCCTCTGTTTCCGCCTTCTACGCTGCCTCTTCTTCTGGCTTTTTGTCATTCTCTTCGGAGCCTGCATAATATTCCCATTTTGGGTGACATCCATTGTTTCTGTCTGCTGTGCCTATACTCCTCTGAATGTCTTTGTGATGAATGCCTCCATGGTCTCATTGGGTTTGCTATTATATACTGGTTCATATTCAAATGAGGAACCAGCTCTTTGCCTTTTGATTGGTTGGAGGGAACAATAGCTATCCAGTCAAGTTACACCAGACTTGAGATGTCACAATAGGACCTGGAAAGTCAGCAGTCAAACTTCATAACCTACTCTTGTGAGCTGTTCCTCCTACCTTCGAGGGTTGAATGAAAAGTAATGCCTCCACCTTCGTTACTTGGGTTTAGATGGGAATATTTTAATAAATCAAATGCAGAAACAATTCTTAGAATGTGCTCTTTAATTAACCACTATTCACTTTTCCACATAATCACCAGACAATTGAATACATTTCTGCCAACAATGAACAAGTTTTCTGAAGCTGTCACGGAAATGTTGACACTCTGTTTCCTCAACCCATCGTGCACAGATCTTCCAATAGCCAAGCAAAGCAATGATGTGACCCATACGTTCTTGTGAAATGCCGATTATGCTTGAAATTTCTCTCTTGAGTGATACGACAATCGTCCTGAATCAATCTGTTGACCTTTTGCTTGTGAAACTCAGTGGCTGTTGTCACAGGACGTCCAACTCTTTGTTTGTCAGGCAAATCACATGTTCCCACCTCAACATATTTAAACTTACTCCTCCAATGACACACAGTACTCACATCAACACAATAACTATAAACAGCTTGCATTCTCTGATGAATCTCATTTGGGGTAACACCTTCTGTTGTCAAGAATTCAATGACTAACATTGCTTAAGTCGCATTGACCAACCATCTGCACAGCGTTCCATACTTTGCACTTTAATAACACAACCATTCGATGCTAAGGCTTCCCACCAAAATTGAACTGTAGAGGAGAGTCTACTGAACAGACCAGTACCTGCCACATACCAATACTGCCATCTGTTGAGGAGTTACGAAGTTGGAGGCATTACTTTTCATTCAACCCTCGTATATGTGGACAGTTTTATTTGCCATGGCTCGATGTTATGAAATCATAAGAATTGTAATTTTACAAGATTTTTCGCCTTTCTACCAATTAGTGCTGGTGCCTCACCAAACTAGGATTCCCATGATTTCATAGCATTGAGCCATAGCAATTAAAGTGGAGTCAAAGTATTCTGCTTCTACATTGTAGATTCACTTTAGACATCCCATCTCCTCATTGGTACATGGGGAAAAAGAAAAAAGCCAGAGGGCCTGATTTTTTAAAAAAATATTATATTATATTATATTATATTATATTATATTATATTATATTATATTATATTATATTATATTATTATATTATGTATATAATGATTGTTATAATAATACTGCTCCTCCAATATTTTTTCTTGCTTCCATTCCCACAAAAGTTTTGAGTGGTAGAGAAGAAATCCAAATATCAGTGTCAAGTGAAAAATCACTCTATTTTAATTCTAATCAGGCTGTTATCAAAACTGGGAACTCAAATGGAATTGAAATTGTTTATCTACCTATGGGAAGTTTTCTCAACCTCTGTCTTGCAAACTCGGGACTGTGGTTTCCTTGATTATCTTTCCCCATCAGGAAGGTGGTCTTCCTCTTTTCCTACTGCATTCTACCTTACCTTATTGTCTCTTCTAGTGAGTTATGCCTGCTCACGATATGGCCCCCAGTGGTGCAATGGGTTAAACCTTTGTGCTGGCAGGACTGCTGACCGAAAGGTCGGCGGTTCGAATCGGGGAGTGGGGTGAGCTATCTTTTGACAACTCTAGCTTCTCATACGGGGACATGAGAGAAGTCTCCCACAGGATGGTAAAACATCTGGGCGTTTCCCTAGGCAACATCCTTGCAGACTGCCAATTCTCTCACATCAGAAGTGACTTGCAGTTTCTTAAGTTGCTCCTGACACACAAAAAACAAACAAACAAACAAAAAACCCAGATACGGCCAAAGTACAACAGTCTCAGTTTAATGTATTGTCGAAGGCTTTCATGGCTGGAATCACTGGGTTGTTATAGGTTTTTCAGGCTGTATGGCAATGTTCTGGAAGCATTCTCTCCTGACGTTTTGCCTGCTTTTGTGGCAAGCATCCTCAGAGGTTGTGTGGTTTAGATATCCTAGGCATCCACCATATTTGTAGAACTTTTCTCTAGCACATTTCAACTCAGTTGATTATCTTCTTTTCTGATACTGTCCAGTATTCATAGCTATGCACAGAAATTGGAAATATTATGGCCTGGACAATCTTAATTTTAGTATTTAATGGTATATATTTAGATTTCATGATCTAATTTAGTTCCTTCATAGGTGCCTTTCCAAGTCCTGGTTTTCATCTGATTTCTTGATAGTAGTCGCCATTTTTTTCTGGATTTTCTGTAGTATATGAAGACCTAAAGACTTTTCTTATGCAAGTCTCTTATTGGAAGCACTTATAGGCAACCTTAAAATGTTAAGGATAAATACTGTATTAACTCATGTATAAGTTAACCTCATGTATAGGTCGAGGGCAGGTTTTGGGGCCAAAATTATGATATTTGCAAAAACCCTTAAATAAGTTGGGGGTCATTTTGCAGAGGCCTTGATACAAAATAGTAATAGCAAGAGAGGCAATATGAATGGGGCATTTTGATTTATTTATTTTCTATATTTCCTTTCCACAGGTACCAAAGCTGCTTTGAATGTGGATATCTGCATCCTTACAATGACAAAATACATCACTGGTATGCCACATCGTGTGGATTTTGTGGTATATGTTCTGCTCAGAGTCCTCTCTAAAACTTTTTCTGCTATCAAGGCATCCATAAGGACTTTTTCCATATGGCTTCCTTTATGTTAGTTTCCCCGAGAAACATGATGGACTCTTTTCTCAGAGAAGGGGCCGACACAAAGGGTCTCGAGTACGGATTCTGTCACCTTTGTGAAGATCGGAGTTGTTGAAAACCTTCTTCCCACAATCAGAGCACATGTAGTTTTTCTCTCCCGAGTGAGCCACGCGGTGTTTAATAAGGTGGGAACTACAGGTGAACGTTTTCTCACAGACAAGGCATTTATAGGATTTTTCCCCTGCGTGGATCCTCTGGTGCTTATTCAGACAAGACTTCACGCGGAATCTTTTCCCACAGCCCCCACATTCATAGGGTTTCTCTCCTGTGTGGATCCTGTAGTGTCCATGTAAATGAGATTTTATGCTGAATCTTTTCCCACAATCTGGGCAGCCATATGGCTTCTCTCCTGTATGGACTCGGAAATGGACGTTGAGGTTGGACTGCTGGTCAAAGCGTTTCCCACATTCGGCACATGAATATGGCTTCTCTCCAGTGTGGATCCGGTAGTGTTTAACTAGGTTTGAACGCCGATCAAAACGTTTGCCACACTCAGAACAAATGTAATTCCTTTCTGACTTAAGGATTTCCGTTTGGGACATATCTCTGTTAATTTTAATGCAGTTTCCTTTTTGGGGTGCTACATATTCCTGTGTCACGACTGGTATTCTTGCCTGAAGTTCAACCGCTTGGATCTCAAATACTTTGGACAGCTCAGTCTCCTCTGCGTGGATCCTTTGATGTTTATTCAAGCAAGATTTCACACGGAATTGCTTCCCACAGTTCCCACATTCATAGGGCTTCTCTCCAGTGTGGGTCCTATAGTGTCCATGCAAGTGAGATTTAATGCTAAATCTCTTGCCACAATCTGGACAGACGTATGGTTTCTCTCCTGTGTGGACTCGCAAATGAACATTCAAGTTGGATTGTTGGTCAAAGCACTTCCCACATTCAGCACATGGATATGGCTTCTCTCCATTGTGGGTCCGCCGGTGTTTAATGAGGTTTGAACTTCGATCAAAACTTTTCCCACACTCAGAGCAGGTGTAATTTCTTTTTGACATGGAGATTTCCATTCTTTTCATGCTTCCAGGAACTGCACAGTCTTGTGTCTGCTCTGGTAGCAAGAGCTCTGTTTGTCTTACAGATTTGATCTCAGTGGTTTTGTTCAAGTTGGGATCAAAGAAGCCATTCCAACATTGCTTCTCTTGTATAGGCTCAGCTGTAACTTCTTCTTTCTGAGGCTTCTTCTTCACCTCCATACTTTCCAAAAAATGACCTAGAAGAACACAGAAAATGTTAACTGGCAGTGCCTAGATCAGGCATAAACAAATTTTGTCCCTTAAGGTGTTTTGGACTTCAACTCCCATAATTCCTACTGAGCAAGAGAAACTGGAGACAACTTCTGTAGCTTTAATAGTTATACAGAAGAAAAAAATTCATCAGTTAGTGTTTGTTACCTGATTGGATAGCAAGAGAAATATCCACTGAAATCTGCTCTTGCTCATAGCCATTAAAGATACAGAAGCCCTCTCCAGTTTTCATTCTGATAATCCTGTCTCCCAGTATCCTAGTCTGACACTGAAAGCATTCTATTCAGTTGGATCCTTGCTGATAGTGTCATTCCAACAAAACTGATCCGAAACATCATTTTACCCGCAGAAAAATCCTCTGGGTTCTCTTCCTCCTTTGATTCCATAATATTTTCTTCTTGCCCCATCTGGATCACAATGTCATATTCCCAGTCGCTCTGGTTCTCTTGTTCTGGAAGTTGTGATTCTGGGTCACAAGGAAGTACAGAAAGGAGAAGGAGCTTTCAAATGCTTTTTGAAAAAGCTCATGTAAACAAGACTGAATGGATGACAGTCAATAAGTAAAAAATCCCAACCAAGCTGGTGAGGAATAAAACATGTCAAAGGCAGTAACCCAAATAATCCAAAAGATACAGGAAAACAAGAATCATAACATGAGCATAATCCAAGGAAACGAGAATCAAAACATAAATATGAATCCAGAAAAACAAGAATCAAAACATGAGCATGAATCCATGCATCATTTAAAAACATGAATCAAAACTCCCAAGAACTTAGACTAAAAACATGATCTGGAAACAGGACTTGATATCCATACTATTGCACAGCGTTGCCTGATCTGAATTCTCAAAGAGACACTCTCTAATTTAAGGGCTGCAAAACATGGAGGCATTCTTTGACCTTGACTTTCTGGGTTGTGAAACTTTCTCTGCGCTTCTTTCTCACAAAGTCTTTTGAATTTCCTGAGCATGATACCCCTGTTGAATACACCTGCTCACTCAGATGAGCTACTTCAGTCTTCCAGGCCTTTATCGGGAGTTACTTTAAGCAAAAAGTCATCTCCACCATTCACTGTATCCCCATGTCTGCTGGACTCTGAAATAGTTTCACTTTCAAGCACTGTCTAACAGACAAAATCCTGATCTAAAATCTCCTCATTTTCCTGCTCTCCCAGGCCCTCCAGGCTCTGGAATCCCAATCCCCTCGTATACTAATGCCACATTTCTTGAAGGCACATTGTACCATGTTCTCTGGAATTTTTCCCCATGCATCATGAACCCACTCGGCTATCGGTTCTATGGAGTTTCATCAGATTTCCAACTTTTGACACTTGGGCTTGACCAGATGATATACATTTATGCCACACCTTTCGTACACGGTCTTTGAAAAGTTTATTTAAACACACATCTAGGGGCTGCAATACAGATGTAAAAAATAACGGCCAAAGTAACTTGAGAAGTTTTTGCCAATTTTTTAAATATTATCTGATGTGTGGGCTCTAAACATATCCCAAATTAGCAATCGTAGTTTTTTCTTTAAGGCTGCTCGTGATTGTCCATTACAAATCTCTTCCATCCATTTTTTTGTTCCGTCTTCAACCATCCAATTTTTAACATGTGCAAGCACTATAATTCGTGGTGGGAATTTTACCTTTTTAGGAAAGGTCTTTCTTTTAAAAATAATGACAGGCAGCAGCTTAGTTCCATTAGCCAAACATGACAGAATGACTGTGAAATGTTTTTTTTTTCCATTTCCCATGGTTCTGAGGAAAATAGTTTTGTCTCCCAAACTTGCCACAGTTCTGTTGCTTGGAAGATCAAAGGTCATAGGTGTTTATCCATATTCCCAATATCTTCTAGGTTATAGTTATGGATCCTTCTTTGTTTTATGATGAATGAATGGAATGACATCACTTTTCCATCATGATCTCTTGGCAATTTTGTGAAACATTTGTTCTTTGCCACAAACATAGGGCAAACCTGTTCATGAAGTGTGTATATCATCCTGCTGACGCAACAAAACTTTAATGCCTGGTGCATTAAATTGGTCATCTTTAGCCATCTGAAGGGCATGTAAGCAAATTCCTATGCGTGTTACATAGTAACCATTTTGACAATATTCCATAACCCAGTTATGCAATTCAGTCTCTAGAGCCCTATATGAGCTTTTATTGACTTTGGAATCTTTTCCAAGACAGCTTTCATTTTCCGCCACTCCCTCACTTGTTTTTCATCAACACAGAATTCCCTACTTCTTGTTGTTTATTTGTTCAGTCACTTCCGACTCTTTGTGACCTCATGGACCAGCCCATGCCAGAGCTCCCTGTCGGCCGTCACCACTCCTAGCTTCTTCAAGGTCAAGCCGATCATTTCAAGGATGCCATCTATCCATCTTGTCCTTGGTCGGCCCCTCTTCCTTTTTCCTTCCATTTTCCCAGTATCATTATCTTCTCGAAGCTTTCTTGTCTTCTCATTATGTGGCCAAAGTACTTCATCTTTGCCTCTAATATTCTTCCCTCCGGTGAGCAGCTGGGCTTTATTTTCTGGAGTATAGACTGGTTGGATCTTCTTGCGGTCCAAGGCACTCTCAGGATTTTCCTCCAGCACCAAAGTTCAAAGGTGTCTATCTTCCTTCACTCAGTCTTCCCTATGGTCCAGCTCTCACATCCGTAGATGACTACGGGGAATACCATTGCTTTAACTATGTGGATCTTTGTTGACAGTGTAATGCCTCTACTCTTCACTATTTTATCGAGATTGGCCATTGCTCCTCCACTTGTTTTTCATCAACACAGAATTCCTTACATGCAATACTGTTATTGCTTTCTTCTGCTCTTTCCACAACCTTGAGTTTGAAACCAGCTTTGTATGACCTGTGTTTTTGTTTTGGTCCAGGATTACTGGTACAAGTCAAGGGCTCAATTTCTAACAGGATAAAAAAACAAATTTTGAAAAAGAATGTTCTTCAAGATGGCCACCCATTCCTGATTTCCTTTCCCAATATCCAAGATGGCTCACTGTTACAGAATCCTGGCAGGTGTAGTTTGGTATGGTATCATCATTCTTTGGCGGTGAAAGCTAAAGACATTGTAAAATTACAAATCCTGGGATCCCATACCATTGAGCCATGACAGTTAAAGTGGTGTTCATTCTACAGGGCTATTGATCAACCCTGAAGAAGCATAGGATGCTTCTATACCAGATATGGGCCAATGTTGATCCTCCACATGTTAGGAATTGTAGGAGTCAAAATCCAAAACACCTGGAGGGCTGAAGTTTGCCCATGTCTGCTCTTTACTGCACTTTCCAGACCTTTCCCATCCCAATCCGCTATTGATTATTTCTAGCTTACTGAATTTGGCTGTATATGCTTTGGATGAGGGGGCAGAAATGGCCTTAAAGCCATCTTGTGCAGTTTCCAAAATACTTTAATTCAACACAGGCTGCCTAAAACTTCCCACCACTGCCAAGGGTTCAACAGGGCATGTAAATTTGTCCTAATGGGGAAAAAGGGATCCTTACCCAATGAGGCCACATTCTCAGAATTCTCCTGCATCACACTGTAATATAAAGCTCTTTGATCCTCCTCCAAAAGCTCCCACTCCTCTCGTGTGAAATATACAGCCATATCCTGAAACGCCACGGGCCACTAGAAGATGGTGAGAAGCAAAGTGGAAAAGGATGTCAATGCATCTGACTTTGGCCACTATTTTTATTACTACTAAGCATATGGTTGAATAACACTATGGTGATAGGGACATGCGAGTGTGGAGAAGAGCAAACCACTGACCACCTGCTGCAATGCAACCTGAGCCCTGCCACATGCACGATGGAGGACCTTCTTGCGGCAACACCAGAGGCACTCCAAGTGGCCAGATACTGGTCAAAGGACATTTAATCAGCTACCGAGTTTGCAAAATTTGTGGGGTTTTTTTATCTGTCTGTTTGTTTTGTTCTGTTAGAAATGTAATACAATGTTCTGGTTGCGGATGACACGATAAATAAATAAAATAGGGACGCAGCTGGCGGATCAGCCAAAGCTGGTAGTAAGCACTCCTGACCGTTGCATGTACCTGGGTTGACATCTGGAGAGATGGATCCAGGAGCATTCCCAAGATGCGGACAGTCTTTCAGGGAGAGTGTAACCCCATTCAGAACTGGTTGACACATCTCCATCCCCAGATTAGGACCCTTGATGGCCTTCTGCAACGAGCTTTACATTGGGCTGCCTTTGTATCAAGTTCAGGAACTCCAGTTGGTTCAAAATATGGCAGCCAAATTGGTTACAGAAACATCCAGGAGTGAATATATTGCATTTATCCTAAAGTCACTCCTCTGGCTTCCAATTAGTTTCTGGGCAAAGTACAAGGCATTGGTTTTACAGCCCTACGTGGTTTGGGTCCAGGTTACCTTCAGGATCGCCCTCTCTCATACAATCTGCCCCAAATACTGAGGTCTTCTGGGGGACATCTGCTCCAGCCTGTCAGAACCACCAGCTAGAAGACCTTTTCATTGGTCAATTGCTCCACGACTGTGGAATGACTTGCTGGAAGCGCTCCAACAGCTAGATCAGCTGTTGGAATTTAAGACACAAGGCCTACCCAAGAAACATGTCAAATTTTTGGTTTGTGTATTTTAATATGTATTGTTTGGAAACAGGTTTTAATATGTGTATTTTACAGAGTGTTTTTAAATGTCGTAACCCGCCTCGAGCCATGAGGAGAGGTGAATAAGCAATAAAATTATTATTATTATTATTATTATTATTATTATTATTATTATTTGAAACACAACAAGATTAGTCCACAGCAGACAAGATCACTCAGCTGGCTGTAGTATTGGATCAGACGTCGGACACTTCCCAAGGTTCTAGGACTGTGTGATGTATGGGTGAATAATGTGTGCAGATCCCAGTAAGGTGGCCTTCTTTAGCTGTCAGGTGGTAATTTTGTCAGCACCGATTATTATTATTATTATTATTATTATTATTATTATTATTATTATTATCATCGTATCTAAGAATCTAGAGGTGATGCAGTTTTCTGTATCAGCACACCAAATAATCTCAGGAACAGGCCTAAACATCAAGACAAAAATGTTTTTGATGTAAGACTGTGTTATACCTGGTGTCCCAGGTAGGTCTGTGCCAGCTGAGCTGCCTCCTCACTGCTGCTTGGTTTCCTGGCTCTCACCCAGGACTGCATTCCCAAAGGAAGCACGTGTAGAAATTGCTCCAAGACCACCATGTCCACAATCTCCCCCTTGGTCCGGTTCTCAGGTTGTAACCACCAGTGGGCTGCTTCCGTTAGCCGGAATAGAGTCTGTCGGGGGGTTTCTTCCAAAGGAACGGTATCTGAACGAAAGCTCTGTCTGCTGCTTTCTTCTCTGTCCTTGAGCAGGGTGACATAGTCCACCTCGATGTCTGTACAGATGTCTGTCTGTTCTTCCTTCACAGGGAGACAGGTTTCTGGGGTGTCACCTGAGGCTGAGGGAGGCCATTCCATTCTAGACCAGACACCCAATTGAACAATGGGACTAAAATACCCACTTTCTTTTGCACTATCTCTTGAAAACAGCTTCTTGGGAAGAGCCATTCTCAGAGCAAAGGAAATGCAGCCTCTTACAGGAGAAGAAGGGAAATGAAAAGAAAAGGAAGTAAATACATTTTATTTGCCATAAGCTGGAACAAAACTAACGAAGCAGTAAAAAGGAAATCTAAGAACAATATAGACAAGAGGTGCACCTACGCTGTGGAATTAATGTAGTATTTTTATCCTTTACAATTTAGCTTGTAAATCGCCTAGAGCATCTTGGATAGAGGGCGATTAATAAGTAATTAAATGATGATGATGATGATGATGATGATGAGTTTGAGACTACTTTAACTGCCATGACTCAGTGCTATGGAATCCTGGGAGTTGTAGTTTGGTGAGGCACCAGAATTATTTACCAGAAAAGGCTAAAGACTTTATAAAATTGAAGTCCCATGATCCCATAGCAATGAGTCATAGCAGTTAAAGTGTTGTCAAATCGAATTAATTTTAGTCAATGGATTAAAAATTCCAAAAATTAAATTCCAATATGCTTAGAATATAAAATAGCAAAACGGTACCATGTACAAAACTGTGTGTCATGATAATAATGAAAAATCTGGTGATGTAAACGTTCATCTGTATCTATGGGCCTCTGGTACCTGCTGGGTTTTGTTCTGGCTCTTCCAAAGGATACCAAAATCCATGGATGTTCAAGTCCCATTATTTTATAAGGGTGTAGTAAAATTGAGACTAAGGAGCCCCTGATGGTGTAGTGGGTTAAACTGCTGAGCGGTTTGAAGTTTGCCCATGTCTGCTCCGGGGAACGGGGTGAGCTCCTGCTGTTAGACCCAGCTTCTTCCAATCAATAGGTACCGCTCCGGCGGGAAGGTAATGACGCTCTAAGCAGTTATGCTGGCCACATGACCTTGGAGGTGTCTACGAATAACGCCGGCTCTTCAGCTTAGAAATGGAGATGAGCACCAACCCCCAGAGTCAGACACGACTAGACTTAGTGTTAGGGGAAACTTTTACCTCTAAAATGGAGATTCTTATATAAAATGTCAAAAGTTTTGCTTTTTGGAATTTAAAAAAAGAAGAATTCCAAGCAGTGGATGGCAGAATCTATGGATTGGAACCTAGTCCTTGAAAATGCCTTTTTTAAAATCCCAAGACAGAAGGAGAGCTGACTCTACCTCTCTTCCCACTCCTTCTGTTTCTTTTAATTCAAAAGGAACAACAGGGAGAAAAAGGATGCAGATCAAAGTCCGTTAAAGCGTGAGTCTCCTTTGTGGAGAGAAAAAACAGGGTATAACAAAATAATAATGACTGATCATTGCCAGGGATGTTAAATATTTTTCCCTCACTATTCTTTTCTGGTTAAAAAAGCAAGCAAAAATCTATTGACAATTCTCAAGTATAACCATCCCGTGAAATCATCTCTTTCCCATATTCTTTCCCAAAGATTACACTGTGTAACAAAATTTGAAAAAAATTACGTTCCTGGTTTGAAAGTGTTATTTCTGTTTCATTGCATTGTACTTACTTTGAAAGTAGTTGTACTCCAGAAGCTTCGCTTTTTGTGGTTTCCACAAACTGTGTTGAATTGGTTGAGACTCGATGAGATATTAATTGAAAAACTAAAGCAAAATGTTCTAGGTTTTTGCAGTTTAATACACTTTTTCCATGTCTAGAACCAATTAGGAAATGACATGTATAATCCAGGAACAAAAATTGTGTTACATAGTGTAATCATTGCTGCAAAGATCCGCAGACTTCGCTTTCTCTCCATCCTTTGTTCCTTGCTGGTCCAATCTTTGGCTTTCAATTTTCCTCCCTTTTCTGCCATTAGCTAAGATTTGGGGAGGAAAGGGATTTGCACCTACCTCCAGAATAAAGCAGAAGATAGGTTCTCCCTCCCTGGCCCAGCTTTAGCCTTGTGCTCCAGAGCTTTTTAACACAGCAGCATACCTAGGTGCTGGTCCCTGATGGATACAGTCTTTCCTTTAGGCAGAGGAAATCCTGACAGTATAACAAAAACTATTTCCTCCCTGCAATTGATGGAGAGGAAACATCACTGCATCACAGTGCAATTGATGGAAAGGAAGCATCACTGCATCACAGCACCACCACCAACCATCTCTGTTTAACCCGGAAAATGGATGAAACCGCTTGCTGTCCAGACAAAGAGGGAATACATCAGTTTTTTATGTTCTTGTAGGAAAACCCAGAGCCCTCTAGCGGGCAAAAGATACTACTTAAATGTGGACATTCATTGTTCCCTTCATCAATTGCACGCACCACCCATGAGCTTAGAGAGCTAACTGAACAGACTGACTCTTTCGCCTTTTACAGTCTGCAATAGGTCAGAGCTTTCCAAGTGGTAAACACACTTTTTAGATTTTGCATTTTAAAATTTTATCCTTGAATTTGGCCCTGCTCAGTGTGATCATCTGTGTTTTACTGTTTGATTTTATGCTATTGTGTTGATTTTGCATCTTATGTAATTTATTTATTTGTGTGTATTTGTGTTTATATTGTGTTTTTCTGTATTGATGGGTGCGGTCTTATGTAAGCCACCCTGAGTCCCCTTGGGGGAGATGGAGGTGGGGTATAAATAAATAAATAAATAATAATAATAATAATTATTATTATTATTATTATTATTATTATTATTGAGATATTTACTATTTCATGGACACAAATCAGTATGATAGTACTTTGGGAAACCGGACTGTTTGCTCTTTCAGTCCTGGTGAAAAAACTTTATCATGTTTGAAAGTGATAGAAGAGATGCAAATAAAAGAGATGGGAGAATAACATTTTTTTTAAAAAAAATATACTAATGCATCTAAGCTGCCTTGCTCTAGCATGCCTTGAAGCAATATGTGTATCAGTCATATTACTTTCCATTCCGAATTTGCTAGTATGAAAAAAAAACCCCAGAAGAATTGCTCCAAAGATGATGGAGCAGGTAAGAGGACATGAAATGCTGATGCACATGTCACATATTACACATTGTGTTTGATTTGTACATCGCTAATTACCAGAAACTTGATGATATAATGGCAAATAAAAATCAGAAATCAGAAAATGTGGTTAAGTGAAATTGAAACATATTAGAAAACTTGTCTTACCTGCCATATTGCAAGAAGTGGTCTCTGGCTACTCTTGGGAATCCCTGGTGGAGCGATAATCTGACCACATCCACACTGCTCCCAATAATGGAGTGTTAATGGAAGAAACCACAGTGTTCATCTATTCCAGGAACACATCATGTATGTCTGGCTGGGGGGACGGGGAGCTGAGGTAGACACCCATAATGGCATTTCTGTTATTCTTTTTATAACCCACCACAGATACATACACACCGCTAAGCAAATTAATAAGATAACATTTTATTATGGTCCAGAGATCCTTATTGCACAGTAGGCATACAAAGTATACAAGTAATGGGATGAAGATTAATATGTATTAACTTCTCGTTTCTGGTAAATTCTGAAGAAGACTGTCTAGTGCAGTGGTTCTCAACCTGTGGGTCCCCAGGTGTTTTGACCTACAACTCAAAGAAATCCTAGCTAGTTTACCAGCTGTTAGGATTTCTGGGAGTTGAAGGCCAAAACATCTGGGCATCCATAGGTTGAGAACCACTGGTCTCATGTCTAGTCTACTGTCAAAAGGGATCAATACAAATTCTCTGTTCTATTTCTACTAATAGTTTGGAAATATATTGTTTACGTTGTATTATATACCAGTTACTTGTGCACTTCCTTCCTTTTTTATTTTGGAGTTTGGTGCATTTACACTCTTTTCCGTTGACTTAATATTCAAAAAACCCCTCAACTTTGAAATAAGCCATTTCCTATTTCAAAGATACAGTTCAGCCCCTTGGATAGCTCCTGAAAGTTCAGATTAAAACCCAAACATGTCCAACACACTACTGATATCAAAGCCACCAGCCTCCAACAGAGAAAAAGCAGGAGAAAAACGGGAATTTACATATAACATACTTGTACGTAAGCAAATATCAAAACCCTTTTAAGGAGATTATCTTTTCAGACTCTAGGAAAAGTCCATAAAGCTCATCTTCCCTTCATCTCTTCCTTCTAGGAGGCAACTATATTAGAAGGTCTGGATTTGCATGTATGATGTGGGTTTACCTGTATGACTTCCCAAAAGTCACGTATACCAATGTCCTCAAGGTTCGGGAAGGGGGAAGCAGGACACAGACTGGTATTTACTACAGTAGAAAATATTTAAGCAAGCATAACATTTCTTCCAATAAGGTTAATCATTGCTAAGATCTCGAAAATAACAAATAAAATCTATTTATTCTCTACAGACAGCGATTCCTGGTTTGACTGGCCAAGAAGTCCTGTCCTCAGAATTCCTGGGTAGACATATCCATTCTAAGAAGAAAAACAGAGTCTGGCATCCCATTAGAGACATATGCAAGTGGAGTTTACCTAGAACAGTGGTTCCCAACCTGTGGTCTGTGGACCACCAGTGGTCCGCAAGAACGAAAATGTGGTCCGTGGCCTCACTATTATTTCACTGTTTCCTCAAAACCATGAGGCAGCGAGAGTGACTAGTCTCACGAAACCCTCATAGTGCTGAGGCAACAGGGAGAAGGGCGGGTTATAAATGCAGTAAATAAATAAATAATAGCAAATAAATACCCATGAAGAAGGCTGTTCCCCCCAAAAAAGTGAATCTGGGGTGAGCCTAGTGCAGACATGGACAAACTTTGGCCCTCCAGATGTTATGGACTTCAACTCCCACAATTCCCAACAGCTCAAGCCCTCCCCCCACCCCCAACTGCTTGAGTGGCTGAGAGGTAAAAGGAAGGGCCTGAGGTACTTAGGAATTGTGGGTGTTGAAATCCAAAACACCTGGAGGGCCAAAGTTTGCCCATGCCTGGGCTCATGAATGGAAAAGCACAGTGAAGTCCTACCTGCAGAACTCTTACACAATGTACTAGTTAACGTTGGAGCTTCTCCTGAGTGCCCTCTGATGGTATGGATGGGAGTTTTAGGGAACATTAGAAGTCAATAAAGGTTTGATTTCCTCTTCTACCCCTGGATTATTCTAATACCCAGAGCTCAAATGTGAGAAGTTGGAGGGAGAGCATTTCAGAGAATATAAAAGAAGTCAAGGGCAGATTCTCTCTAGGAAATGCTACCCTTCCTACTGAACACACACAACCTCCATGCACTCCTTTCAAACCCTGGTATTGGGATAGGAAGAAGGGTTTTCTAAGATCACTGAATTAATTCTCCCCAAATAGTCATGGAGAATATGTTAGGCTGCAATCCTGTCAGCCCTAGCCAGCATGGCCAATGTGAAGGGTGATAAGAACGTAAGAAGAGCCCTCAAATATCTGTGTAGTTTAGCACTGCCTTTCCTAGATACAGATAACTTAGCCACAGTAATCCACACTCTGGAAACTTCCCAGTTAGTCTAGTGCTGTGCACTCTACATGGGATTGCCTTTGAAGATAACTCAGAAACTGCAGCTAGTTCTAAACATGTCTACTATATTGGAAAGAATGAAGGAGTATTTCCAGTACCTCCTTCACACAACACCAATCTCCGTGGTAGGACAAGAGAGGATGACGTTTTCTTTTGGTTGACCACATTTGGCTAAATACTATGCCCTCCATATCCACAATGGATACGTTTCTGGACTTACATTAGAAACGTGAAACTGTGGATAGGAGCAAACCATATTGCAATGAGGCACACCATAGAATTGCACTGAAGAACCTAGAGAATGCCTACAGAGAACATATTTTTGGACATGGTTAAGTAAAACTATGACTACTGGTTTTGCAGATATGTGGGGTTGTACTCTATTTTGAGAATATTTATTTCCAACTTACAGATCCAGTTTTGAAAAAAGTGCAAGGACAAATCTTATAATTTTCATTTAAAATGATTGTTATCTGTTATTGGTCTGAAAGTTGGTGGTTGAAATGCTATATATGCACATGTATGCACATTCTGCTACCTGGGATTTTTAACCTTGATTGCCTGCTATGTTCTGTTTTTGTCCTTTTTATGAGTAACCTGTGACTGTAATAAAGTTGATTGACATTTTGTTTGTGAGTCTGGGTGCAGAAATGTGGCCTAAGGACACACGTAGGCAGCTACACTTGATGGAGCTTTCTGCTCCTCCGGGGCATTATGGGATCTTAGCCATGATCACTCTTGTTCTTTAAATGTAAAGGAAATATCAGAATTGTAGTCCAATATCATCTGACGGAGCCCCTGGTAGCACAGTGGGTTAAACTGCTGAGTTTCCGAACTTGCTAACCAAAAGGTCACAGCTTAGAATCCGGGGAGCGGAGTGAGCTCCCACTGTTAGCCCCAGCTTCTGCCAACCTAGCATTTCGAAAACATGCAAATGTGAGTAGATCAATAGGTACAACTTTGGCGGGAAGGTAATGGCACTCTATGCAGTCATGCCGGCCACATGAGGTCAGAGGCGTCTATGGACAATGCCAGCTCTTCAGCTTAGAAATGGAGATGAGCACCAACCCGGACACAACTGGTCTTCATGTCAGAGGAAAACCTTTACCTATCATCTGAAGAGTTCCACTTTCATCTTTCCGTGCTGCTTGGGGAATATGTGGGCAAGGGAAGACTGTAAAAAGTAACTTTTCCCAGCTTTACTTCAGACTAGTTTTATTGGAGTGGAGAAAGAATGGTTTCTGTTTTTTTTTTTTTTTGTTTTTACTTGGAGCCTACAATGGTTTAGCAGAACATAAATCCCTTTCTCCTCCTCATATGCAGCACATGCCCCACATCCATGGAGCACCAAAGGAACTGAGAAAACATTTGGGCAATCCAAAAGTTCAACAGTAGTTTGAGACACACAC